TTTTTTATTCAAAAATTTATTCCTATTATAAACAAAGCATTATTTATATTTTTTACTTGAGTATAAAAATTTTTTTACCGATTATCGTAAATACTGGAATAATTATCTTATCTTCTCTCAATTAATTACCCTCTCTAATAATTATCCCCTAGTTTTTTACACAAACTAGAAATATTTAAAGAATTATGATCAAATTTAGTTATTGGAACATTTTAAGACTTAATATCATAAAATAAATCAATTCCGTCTTAATTAGATTGAGATATATCCCAAATCCAGTATATCCACCCTAATAATTACCCACTCCAGCGAGAGATTGAAATTCAGTATTTACTGTATATTTGTAAATTACCTAAATACCTTGGATAATTAAAATAAGAGTAATGATTAGATAGATATTTCAAATAGCTTTTACCAATCAAAATTTTTTATTGGTAAATATGCTTTAGTTTATTATATTTTTATCGGCTCCAACATTTTTATGATCTTATTTTACATAATAATCTAATTAAAATTAGAAAATAAACTAATTTTAATTAACTCTAAAATTAAATTAATTAACTTAGGTCGAAGAATTTTAAAAATCACAGGTTTGGTAATGAATATGGATATGAATACAGATAAGTTCAGAATGCCTGCGGATATCCGCCGTAAATATCAGGATATGGAAACTAAAATCCACATCCTTTAACAAGTCTGAAAAATCATACAAATTTAATTTATTTTACAATTTAAATTAAAAATTTTAATTTTTTTCTCAATTTTTAAACAAAATCAAAACAAGCATTTTTTAATTTATTTAAAAGTATTATTTTCAAGAAAAAAAATTAATTTTTATTTTATAAAATTTAATGCTCCAATCAAATCAAAAACAAAATCTAATAGCTCCACAAAATTCAAAATATAAAGAAGAAAATATTATTTTTAAACAAAAATTGGAACATTTAATTAATAAATTACCTCAAGAATGTATTTCTTATTTTAAAATTATTGAAACCCCTTTATTTGTTAATGCTATTTTGGTTTGTATTGATAATGCTGTTTTAGAAGAGGATAATTTAAATAACAAATTTATTAACAACAAAATTAAAAAAGTAAATTATTTTTTAAATTAATTCAGGCAAATCTCATTTTTAAATACTCATTAGAAGATAAAATTGTATCTAATAATAAGTGTATTTAAAATTGGGGATATTACATAGACAACTATTCTAACCGTTGGCCGACCAACTTGTAAAAATGTATCTTGAAGTAGATATTTTTGGGCGTGTATATAAAAATGTGATTCGACCGTGTAAAAATAATGACTAACCCAGATTATGCGTCTTATCATTATTTAATGCTTTGGTAGCACTTGTAGCCAGTGATGAGGGGGGGGGGGGGGGGGAGGGTTCCGGTTCCGGAAGTGGAACCTGCCAAATTTTGGAATTTCCGCATCCTGCTTGTAGCACTCCATTCATATACACTTTGACACACTCGACTTTGATTTTTGTATTTTTATTTTATGAAACAAATAACCCCACATAGGACTAATGAACAAGTGAGGATTCAAATTATTCTAATTTATTTAAAAGGTATCAATTTGTAAACAATTAGACATTCCAAATTTAAATAATATTTTTAAATCGAAAGAAGAACCAAAAAATAAAGTATTAATAAATCAAGAAATTGAAGAAGAAAATGATTTTATTGATCAAGCTGTAAGAATTTTAAGAAAAACTATTGAAAATTTGGACGAAAAATTGTTTAAATTATCAAAAATTAATTGTTTGTATTCCAACACAAATCAACAAAAAAATCAAAAATTTAATGAAATGGTAGACGAAAAGGTAAAAATTTAATTTTTATTTTTATTAATTTAATGAATAATATGCATAAGAACTGAAAAAAATTAAAAAAAAATAAATAAACCATGGTTGGACATTAATAGGAATTTATTTTTGCCATTTCGGAGTCTATAAAAAATATTTTTAATTTTTACAATCAACGAAAAATTTAAATGATCTGCATTAATTAGACTCCTAACGGTTCTAGCAAGAGTATTCCTCAAAGAATCGCTAGAGAACGAATTCAAGCTGATATTCTAAAGTCCAAATAAAGTTTTCCAAATAGTGGGTCGAACAAAGAGGTTGTTGATAATTGAAAGAATCGGAATGTAGAAACTAAAAAAAGACTTTGGAACTCGAAAGTTCAATCTACCTTCTGTTAAAAATATATAACAAAAATAATTAAGAGAATAATAAAAATAAAAATATAAATTAAAGGTTCAACAAAATAACAAAAATAATAAACAACAAAACAAAATTTTAAACGGTTCCAATTTCCACAGCGAATTTCGCAGACAAAAATCAAATTAAAAGATGGAAAAATCTTTTTTATTAAATAATATTTTGTCCAAATTTATTTTTTAAAAAGAAAATAAAATTTTCCGGAATTGATTCTAAGGACTCGACTATTTCCCTTTACATGTGAATTAAAAATGAGTAAGAGAGGGCAAATTATTATGTTTTACTCATACTATTTTGAAATTAAAATATTTTTTTTCTGTTTAAAAATATTTTTAAATTAATTTTAAAATAAAAAAATAAATTTATTATTAATTAAAAAAGAAATGTATTATTTAATTATTTATTTATTATTTGTTTCTTTAATTGTTGGTAAAGGTTGGTATTATTGTTTTTGTTTAAAAGTTTTTTTTGTTAAACATAGGGTCTCTTTCATCATTCATAATTTTTTTATTAAGTTACCTGTTCTTTTTTTTATTTTTCAATCTTGTGGTTGTCCATTTAATTTGAAATTTTTAAAGAAAATTTATTATGAATATTTTGACAATATATCCACAAAATTTTTAAATTTTTAATAAAAACATTTGACTTATAAGGAAAATTTTATGGAATTTTTATTTGAGAAAGTAAATTTTTTAAAAATCTGACTTTTCCAGGCGCAATTATTTAATTTTTAGACATAATTACTGGACTTTTTATTTAAATAAAAATATTGAATAGATGTAAAACAAAAACGATATCCGCTATGGAAATTACATCCTTAGATTATTCTTTATTTTAATTTTGTTTAGGATTTAATCTATTAAAAACTACTAAACATAACCTCCAAACATTTATTGTTTAAATTTTTTTCAAAGTTTATGTATCTGGTGGAACTAATAATGGCGGTGCTAATGCAGCATTAGAAAAAACGAAATTGAAGAGATTAAAAATACTTTAGAAGATAAACCTTCTCCGTGGCTTAAGCCTCGTTTTGGAAGTCCAATTCTGCATATTAGTCTAATTATACCTAAAGCACCGGATTTGAAGACTGGCCCAGAATTGATGTTTACTTTAGAGTAAGTTATGGAGTAAAGACGAATCGAGCTTTTGAATGTTAAAAGAATATAACTGACATGTGTGTTAAATATGGTTGACATGAGGAAAAGCCAAAACTTTTGGGAACCCCTAGTATTGTCAATAACATATTCTTATAATACAAAAGTTTCAAATGATCGTTCAACTATACTAAATATTTTTGTAATTAACCATGAATTCCTCAAGCAAAATAAAAATTTAATTAAATAATTAATTTTTTAGGTTTAGCAAACGTCCAAGCGTCGCAATAAAATTTTTCCTTACATTTATCGAAGGTGCAACAATTTTCGTTAGTAACAAATGGCTATTACGAGAGAATCGTTATGCTTGTTATACTGAATATCAATTTCATGGGGCGCAAACATGTTATCCCTAAACATTTGATGGAAAATTTAATAAAGGTATATTTATTTTAAAATAAATTTTTTGAGGAAGCATAATATCCCCCAAATATATATTCTAGAGGGAAAAACTTTTTAGGCTAACGGTAATCAACAACTATTCATAAACATATAGGGCAGCCCTCTTTATAGAACCATACATTAAACACTTGATTTTCGTCATATGTATATAGTCAATCCAGGTCTGGTGCCTGAGCAAACTCAGGCTGCCTTGTAAGATATAAATTTAGGAATTATCTAAGTTGTATATCCTTTATCCCGAATATAATCTGTGTGCCATGAGTGAGGAAGCAATCTCTCTTTTTATTAATTCACAAATTTTGTTATATTCACAGGGTTTTGATGATATTTCTAAAAATATAAAAAATGAAGATTTAAACAATTTCACCGGAAAAGTATGCAAAAATATAGGAGAACAAGTAATTAACAAATTTAGTAAAAATATCAATTTAATTGAACTAGCCAAAGAATTATTAATATCAAAGAAATTCAAGCCTAACAATGACAAAGAAATTTGTCTTTCATCTCCAAATTCTTTAAATTTTAATTGCAAAATTAATTTTGAAAAGCTTAGACTTGGAGTGGAATATAAACCTTCTATTTCTCCTATTTTGAAGAATTTCGACAAAATATTATAAAAAAATGAAGAAATGGGAGACAGAAGCTGATAAATATTTTTTGTTAATATTTCTTTATAAATTTTCACCGTTAAATAAAAAGTGAAAAAACTGTCACCTTAAAATATTGCTAAATTTCTTTCCTAACCATGATAAAATATTTCATCATTTTTCACTTTGAATTATTTATTTTTGAGAGTTTTTTTTAAGTGGCGCGGCTTTCTTTTTGAAAAATAATGAGGGAAATGATGAAGAATTTGATAAGCCTTTATTTTCCTTTATAAGTCAATTTAAAATTCTTTAATTAATTTAAAACAAAATTTAATTTCAATTTAAAAATGGAATTAACTGAAAATTAAATTAACTGAAAATTAAAAATTTTCTCAATGCATTTTTAATTTTACAATTAAAGATTAACACACACTTCTAACTAAAATTTCCAAAACAAAATCTACAACAACCGCAATTTATTTTCCAATAAAAAAGTTTGTGACAGAATTTAAAATAATTAGTTATGTATTTTTAAATTATTTTAGAAAATCGAAAATAAATATAATTTGTAAGCGTTGTTGATATTATTAAATCGTTTATCTTCATTGCTTCTTCAATAATTCATTTAACTAACAAGCTCCACAAAAATCGCAGAGTGTTTTAAAGACTAAATTATCGTTGACTTCAACAAACACAGGCCAAAGAATTATTTTCGAAAACAATTGTTTCGAGAATATTTTGCTCACAACAACATTTTTGGCAAAAGGAAGGCAACATTGAAGGGCAGCTTTGTGGTTATGAGGATTTAATTTGTGTATGCAATTGAAGATTGAATTTCTGAATGATTTAAATGATAATTTCGCGACTGCATCAAGTAAGGGAAACAAATCAACATCGAGGGCTATAAGTAAATCTGTGTTGTTGTGATGGTCGATTTTACAACATTCGGCAAAATCTTCAGAAACGGTTTGGATAGAAATAGTAATGTTGCTGTTTATGCACTGAAAATAATCAAAAACTTTAAATAATAAAATATTTGTTCAAAAGTATTTTTAACTAGATATTTGATTGGAAGTGTTCTAGAAAGGAAACCATCAGTTAAGATAGGAAATAAAGGAATTTTATCCCTAGTTAAAGGTATAATTTAGATAAAAATATACATATCACACTCATTAGTGATGTGCCCGAGAGCCGAAACTCGGTCTTTTTTCGACCGATCCGAAGAAATTTTTAAAATCCGATCCGAAATTCGACCCGATTTTTTCTCGATCCGGCCCATCCCTGATCATTTTTTAAGTTAGTGAAATGGAGACATTTTCCATAATTTTTGTCCTAGTTTTTAATAATATTTTAAAACTAACCAGATTAGAAGATGCAATCAAACTCAAAAATCGAATCTTTAAGTCGATATCCAAATCTAAACAGCTGAAAACCAAATCTTGACATTCCTTGCTTAGTAACACAAATTTTTCAGATAAAAATTTCAAACGCAAATTAACATCTATTTCACTCTTGAAGAAGTTGATTACAACATTTAAAAAACTTTTTGCTTCAATTAATATTGAAACATTTAGATTTATTTTGGAATTAATTGCAAGACTGAGTGATTTAATTAGAACATTGACATTGACATCACCACTTAGCACAATAGGGCCAATTTTTGATAAAGATACAAACTGTTAAGAAAAATTTGAATGAATATTTTTATTGAAATATTAATCCTAAAATGTAGGGTTGGTCCTCGACGGGGGGGGGAGGACAATGAGGAAAGCTTTTCGGTGAGGTAGCGCCACGGAGGGAGGGGGGGGGACGGGGAAGGTAGACAACCCTACTAATATGGATAGGAAGACCGATATTTTAAATTTTCTAATAAGATATCAGATCAGGATCACTTTGTTTGGGGCGATTTGATCCAAAGACTGGATTTATACAAAAATAGTTGAGGATAAATGGGAAATTTTTTAACTTTCTTCACTTTTAAGCCCAATATCCTAGGTAAAACTCACCAAATCACAGAATACCAAGTACTCTTGAACTGATAAAACGCCATTAATCTTTGCTTTCAATATAGCATCCAACAAACAAGAATCATTTTTATTAGATAAAAAGCTTCTTAGAACAATTGCTATGTAGGCATGTTTACGTTCAATTTTCCAGTCATCATCCAATTTAAAACATATTCTTTTGAAGAATTTAATAAAAAGTTTAATTTGTACGTCTACATCAATTTCACAGGAGTTGTTTACTATTGCATTTTCCAGGGCAATAGTTAAATGTGAGTTGCCTTCAATATCTAATGGTTCTATTACAGCTTCTAAGTTGGCAAGATTGAATTTTAATCCAAGAAGGATAAATTCAAAAACTTTTCCAAATCCTTTAATTTCCTCCAAACAAATTAAAAGTTCAATGTCAGGGTTATTTAAGAAGAATAACTTGAGTTTGAAAGCAATCTTTATTACTTTAACTTCTATACTTAATTTAACATCCAAAAGAATCGCCTCAATCTCGTTTATGCAAACATCGAATAATGCCTTGAATTAAAAAAATTTTAAAAATATTTTTTTAAAGGCTATGAAAAGTACCTGTTGGTGAATATTCAAACGCAAAATTTTAATTCTTATAAGCTCTAATATTAGAATAGCACGGCAAGGACGAGGATTTTTGGTAACTGATGTGTGCTTTTTTGGTTTAGCAGTTGTAGTTTTGCCTTTCTTTGGTTTTTTCGGTTTTTTAGTTCCTTTGTGGTTATGATGATGGTGGGGATGTTTGCCTTTTTTGTGCTTTAGCTTTTTGCATAACAAAAATTCGTTTGAGGCTTCTGCAGATTTTAAGTTTAGTAATTCAACTGATAATTCTGCTTCTGACGATTTTAATTTTCCTTCAACAGATAATAATTCATTCTCAGAAGATTTTTTGGATTTATTTTCAGAAGAATTTTGATTGGAATTAGAGCCAATTTCAACAGAAATATTTGCAACAGAACCAACGTTAACTTCAGCTGAAAGAAGTTCAGATGATTTTGAAAGAAGTTCAGCGGAGACATTCACAACAGAGCCAACGTTGACTTCCGCTGAGACAAGTTCAGAGGATTTGGTGCCAAGTTCAGCTGAAATGTCAGTAATACCCAAATCAACATCAGCAGAAACATCCAAGGAAGGGACACACTCCAAAATTATTTCGATATTGCATTCATTAATATTAGGCGCTGGAGAAAATGTTGCTACACTGAGGGCAACAATTGAGGCAAAAATTAAAATTATTATTTTTAAATATTTGTTGAAGGACATTAAATTTTATTTTTATTAAATTTGGTTTAATTGAAGGATTTTTTATTCGGTTAAAGTTTTTTGCTTATTTTATATCAAAATTTTGTTATTGTGTTATTTCTTGGATTTATAAATTAAAAACAAAATTTACATATTATTTTTAATTAAACATGTTTTCTAATAAATTTTCTAAAATTAAATTTGTATGATATCATTTTAGTGAATTACTCTTTCTAAATTTAAAAATAACCCTTGTTTTTAAAATTTAAATTTTAATCCTTTTGTTTTTAAAATTTAAAAGCTGTTTAGGTACTATTTTTGAATTGAAATTCTAAGATTATTTCATTCAAACAAAAACAATTTTAAAAAATAAATGTTCAATAACCATCATTTTTATCAAAATATATTTTTATATTTTATTATTTTTGTATCATATGTATGATTGTTATTTATCAACATGTTGTTATTTTTGAAAAATTTTGTGAATTATATATTTTTGTTTAACTCATATGTAGATAACTCGGTGATAGTTTTCTGTTGATCCCAGATTCAAAAAAATTTATTTTGATGCATACACTACTGTTAAGTAGAGATAGGCCTTGCTCTGGAGACCATCGCCGGGTTTTTCCTGTAGCCAGAATCCAGGCTCAGGCATTTTTTGACCTTCCTGGGTTTTTTCCTGGGCCTGGGCTTTTCATGGACTACAGGCCCAGGATGAGCCAGGTCAATAGATCAAACCCAGAACCCAGGAACAGGCCCAGGCTTTTCAAAATTTCCGATCTCTACTGCCAAGTAATACTTAATTTTATTAATCATTAGTTTATGTATTTTACTTAAGCTCAATATTAAAATGCTTTTTAATTTCTTTAAATAGGAAAACTATGAATCTTATCTCGCTAACAATTGTATTCCAGTAGCAATTTGACTGTTCGATCAGCAAAAATAATTTTATTCCTCAAAATTATTTTTAATATTTCCTCTCCTTTTTTATCCTTCACTCTTTTTATAATTATTTGTATCATCTCAATTTTTGGGTCAAATCCTTCATTAAAAATATCCAAAACAGTTGGTCATTTATAATAAATAAAATAATAACTCCTTCATATTTACCCTCTAAACACTTAATTTGGAAAGGGATTTACCGTCTGTTGATATTCAAAAAATTTGTGGAGGAGGCTAATTGGAAGAATTAATCGTTTCTTTTACCTTCCGAGTTAATTGTCGGCAATTTAATTTTTAACCCCCCAGATGGCATTTCCAATTTGTAAAGGAAGGAAATTTAAAAAAAATTTTTATTTTATATTACGATATATTTTCTCACCTTTTCTCACATTAAATTTTGTGAAAACAATTCTCAGTCATCATTTATATTTTTATCGTCCTCAATTTCCTTCAATTTTCAATTGTTTCTTGTATATTTTAATTTATGAATGGGATAAAAATAAATAAAAAAATAAAAAAAGAAATAAATAAATGCAAATTTTTAACCTTATATGTATTTTCTCAAAAGTCTTATTAAGGCATATCAATTTAGATAAAATATTAATTTCAAAATGTTTAGAGGAGCGAACATTTAAACTAGGGTTGTTGGCGGACGGTTAACCGAACCGGAACCGGAACCGTTAACCGGTGTTTTTGGCGAATTAACCGGAACCGAAAACCGGGGGTCGAAAACCGGCGATAACCGAAAACCGGTGACCAAAACCGCCCGGTTTCGGTTTTAAAGATACACCCCTAAATATGGAATTTTTTGTGATTTTTAGGAAATATTAACTCCCAAAATATAGTCGCCAAATTATTTCCTTCCTTTTCTTTTTCGTTAAATATAATTTCTTTCAGTCTTATTACATGAAACGTGTAGTTAAATGGTTTAGTTGTTGAACTTTAACGATAAAAGTCTAAATATCGTTTCGTTTTTGAGTCGGGCCGACGGTCGAGGCATTTTTTTCGGGCTTGTTTTTATCAAGTCGGGCCTATACGAGTCTTTTTCGTGCCAAATATATTAGGCCCGACTCAATCTTTCGGTCCGGCGCAAAAAAAGAAGATTTTTCACTTTAATATTCTTTGGGGTGGGGTTCAAATCCATGATCGGACGTAAAATCTTTCAACGACGCCTCTTAATCACAATTATTTATCAACTCACTTGATATCTTCTCATCCTCTTAATCCCCCGATCCTCTATATTAATCCACACACCGATCATCGATATACCCAAATCCCTCTACTCTCCTAATATTCAAAATCAGCCAACGTTATCTCGCCATATACCCTTTAATTCCTCGAATTGTTGAAATTTGTAAATTATTCAGCTCCTAGTGTATCGAATATTTATTTAAAAGAGTTAGAATGTGACAACATCTTAATGTGATATTCTGGATGAAAATTTGTTCAAAAACCGGTCCCGGTTAACCAAAAACCGGGGGTAAATCGAAAACCGGAACCGAAAACCGGGGGTCAAAAACCGGCGATAACCGAAAACCGAGGGTACCGGTTAATACCCGGTCGTCAACAACCCTAATTTAAACTTTCTAGGAGCGAACATTTTAGTATGCGGGATGAGTTATGACCGTGTAGTCCAAGTCTGGAATCCTTTAGCCGGACCGAATCCGAACGTTCCACAACGAAAGCGTAGTGTGTCTGTCCTTGTCATTTGTGATATTAATGTATAAAAATTATCAATGCTCGTTTTAATTTCTGATATCTGAATATTCTTCCAAAAAATATTTTCCTTTTCTTATTATTAAGTTTATTCATGTTGAAAAATAAATATTTAAAATTAACAAAACAAACAATTTATTTTAGACTTATTGTGTAATAAACTAACAATAATTGTTAATCTACTAATAATTTAGCAGCATTTTTGCATGAATGGTAAATTACATAACATATATATTTCTATTGTCTTTTTAGCGGATTTATAGGCAAAAATAACAATTAACAAATAATTTAGAAAAAATAACAAATATAAAATTTAAATTAAATAAATTAGTTATTACAATAAATATTTTAAATGTTTAAATTAATTTATGGAAAAAATGCTGGGATATTCAAGAAAGGGAATTTGAAAAAAATTAAAAAACTGACAATGGAACAGGGGAACATCTGTGTTTAATTTCTAAATTTCCCAACATTTAAATAATATTAAAATAAATTTACCTATTTTCGTTAACAAAAAACATGGAAACCTCATTTTTTGTAAGTTTAAAACTTAAAATATCGTCCTGCCCTCATCAACATAAACAATGGAAATAAAAAAATTATATTTATACAATTTTTAGAGAAAGATGACACTCAAAATTTTAACTTGACCAAAAATTATTTACTCATTATATTTTCTAAGAAATGCCAAATAAAGTAACAAAATTTATATAAAATAGTGTCAAAAAGCGGATAAACCTATAATCATTTCATAAGAAGGCAACAAACAAATAAGGGGGGAGATGGCACAAAATACATGGACAATGGAAAGAATTCTTATAAGAAAAGTGGGTATTTTAAGGAAAAATAGGAAAATTGAAGGATTAATGATTGCCTAGTTTTTGGAATTTATTTGGAATTTGGAAATATTTTTCAGATTTGTGAGACAAATATGTATGAAACGAATAATGTCAACTGTTTTTTAGAGATCGGACCAAAAAATATTTGACGTTGGAAAATCAGATATTTGATCAAATTTTATTCGATTTTATTTGATATAATATTTGTTTGATGAATTTTGAAGAAAATCAAATTTTTTCACAAATTTTTTCACAAAATCAAAATTTTTCAAATTTTTTCAAATATAAAATAGTTTGATTTAATAGTTGATTTTTCCGGACAGCGTCCTGTTGTCTCTACTGTTTTTCATTTAATATCACAAGCCTACTTCTAAAATCATGTTAAAATGTATGTAGAGAAGTAGTGACCGGTAAAATTATTTCTCCGGATACGGAAGGGATTTTGGAATGCCGGACAGCGTCCTGTTGGATTCTCGACGAAAAGTAATTTAAATTGATAAAGAATAATTAATTTTGAAATTATTTTAAACTGGCCAATTAATGACAAATATTTATATTTTTTCATCGAAAATTCAAAAATTGAACCCAAATTATTAAAAATATGAATTAATTAATGAAAAATATTTTTTCAATTTAAAAATTGCCATTTTTTATTTTTAATTTAATTTTTCTTTAATTTTTCTCTAATTTTCTTTTTTCCTCACTCTCTCAAAAACCATATATCAACAACTTTAAATTAGCCAATTAGATCTAGCCAATTATGCGTCTTTTTGTCATTTGCCGATATTTTTTATATGGAAGGGCAAATTCTTTTGTAAAAATAATTGGAAAATTTAGAGAGAATGATTTAATATTCTAAATTATTTTTTCTTTCCTTTTTCCATTTATGACAATAAAAAAATAAGAAAAATGTGTGAAAAAGTAGGCAGGTGGTATAGAATTTCTTTTTATTTTTTAATCATCTCTCCGTGGATCATTACACGTTGAAATTTATTGCTGCCTGAAGAGAGAACTAAAGAATTAAATTTTTATATGTTGAGCGAAAACTGAGAAACAAAAATGCAATAAAATGACAGTAACCGAAGGAAAGGAATTAAGAATTATAATTTATTAAAAAAAATTTTTTTTTAATTATTTTATGTATATTCAAATAAAAATTTTGAAAAAAATTTTTTTAATACATATGTTCTGTCAAATCTCAGTTTTATGGCACCATACTTGTACATATTTTACACAGTGACTTTTCTGTTTGAGAGGTGCCCTACGTCCAAGATTCGACTGTAAATAATAAAATTAAAATATTTTCTTCAGAAAAAAACTGAGAAATACTTTTGGAAGTTTTCCATTTTTATTTAGAAAATCTTACTTTTTTCTGACAATTTTATTTTATTTGTATTTTTTAAAGAAATAAAAATTTAGATTTGTCAGAAAATTCGTTTAATTATCAAATTTAATTTATTTCTTATAAAAAATACCCCCCTCCCTATTTAAAAATATCCTTAAAGAATCATAATTAAAAAAATATTTTTATCTAATAAACTACCATCTTCATACATATTTAAATTAAATTATATATGTATTTTATTTATTTTCTTGACGTTTTCCCATTGTTATAACGAGAATGACAAATCATTCCAAATCCATTAATTATTATTTTTATTTTTCCCACTTCAATATCACACCATGACTCCCTCTCTCTCCTTTTCTTAAATTTTAATTCTACTCTCAACACAATGGCTATATATTGTAAATAAATTTTATGGTAACTCACAACATTATTTTTTGGGGGAGGAAAAGTGTGTGGGCTAAAAACCCTTTTAGAGGATTAGAGGGAAAAGAAAAGATTTTTTGAGTATTTCTCTCTCAAGTCGAAGTCACTCCAAGCGCCAGCTTTTCTTAGTTTACTCTAACCGGATTAACGGATTCAGTCCTTCAAAAAGCCCCCCCCCCCTCCTCCTACCCACAAAATAAGAAGCGAATTTTGATTATTATTTATAGAAATAATGTACTCAATTAAATGAAAAAATGTTTTTAAAAAAATAATCTTTAAATAAATAAATATTTTAAAATGCGAGAAAAAGGGATTGTTTTAAGAATGTAACATAATTTTTCTGAACAAACAAAATTCATCAAACATTCAAAAAAATGTTGCGAGGACGAATAATGAATAAATGAAAGGTGTTTTAAGAGAAAATTTTGGAAGGAAATTGTATTGAATTTTAGAAAAATTTTTATCAAAATTTTAAAATTAGTACTTGAAAAATATTATAATTACTAAAAGTAAATTTTTCTTCACACTCTATAGATATAAAGAAATAAAACCTCGTAAAAATAAAACCTTAAAATAAGAGGAATATCAAATTAGGGATAGTATCACTTTGATAACTCCTTCAACAAATGATTAAATACTAGATCTAAAAAAGCTAGGTATATTAGATAGAAGGGTATCTAATTTTGTGGGTAGGGTTGTCGGTTCTGGTCTGAACCGAAGATCCGAGGATTTTTCGGTTCGATTCGGTTTCGGATATCCGAAAATTTTCCAGAAACCGACAACCCTATTTGTGTGTATCTCGGAAGCAAGTCTCGACAATTATTAGCGAGATTCTCTGTATTTATTCAAAAATAAATTAACATAATTCCAAAAATATAAAAAAATTTCTTCTATTTAATCGTCAGGGGCAATTTCATCATTTGATTTATCGTTATTTTCTGTACATTTTTCACCTTCAACAAAATTATCGTTTGAAGTTGTAGCAGCAAAAGGGGGAGGAAATTTTGAGGTAGGAATTAAAGAAGTGCCTTAAAGTTAAGATAAATTTAAAAAAACAAAAAAAATAATTTTACAATTTTGAGTTTGTTGATCTTGAAAAATAGGTAGAGAAGGTATTCTATTTGTTTGTATTCCAAAAGCCAAAAGTTGTTGGACTGAAGCAAAATTTTCTACAAAGTGATTTGTTGTTATTAATTGATGATTGGCTTCATCATTAATATTTGAGCTTTCTTGTTGGATATTTTTTAATTGTTCCTTTAAATTGTTATGATTTTAGACGACTTTTAATGGAAATATCAAAATTTAACTAGAACTACATATAGTTTGAAGACATTTCGATCTAAGATACCTCAACCGGACTGAAAAAATCTTACTTTTCCTTTTCTGTATTCGCGTAAAATTTTTTTTGGAAATACATTGAAATTATTGCAAGTCTTCGATCGTCAGATCCTTCGAGTAACGAGACGAGCGATCTGGGAACCCTACTAGTAAATATATGTAATATTCGAAAAGGTTAATGCATGCTTGAGAAATACATATATAAAGACAATTGGTAATTGGAAAGAAGTCAAAAATTAAGGGGGAAATCGGAAAATAAGTCTACGTAAAGCCTAATTTTCACCCGTGGGGACGAAGGTAAAATACGGGAACGGTGGAAAACGATCAGCACCGCCTAATATATTTTACCTGATTCTTTTTTTGAAATTTTTTTCTACCATTCTGACTACTATTTGGGAATTCTTCAATTTTATTATTTAATGTTTCATTTAGTTGTGGACAATTTTGGAAGAATAAAGGTTGGAAAAGTAAATTTTGTTGTAAGGGGATTTGAAGGGAAATGTTTGGTTGTTGAGGTTGGATTAATAAATTATTATTTGAATTTGTTTGTTGTTCTTGTTGATTAGTAAATAAATTATTGTTAGTTTTTGATACTGAAATAGGTATAAATTATTTAGAAAAAATTGTATGAACGAAAAAATTTTTTAATTTAAATCGAAAGAAGAAAAATAAATTTTCCAGTGAAAATATTTTTTCCTAAATTTTTCCGAATAATTTTTTACCTTCGAAATTATTTCCTTCATTTTCTTCCGACATTTTATTATTTTTAATTTGTTCTTTTAAACTTTCATTTTCGGATTTAAGGTGAAGTAATTCTTTATTTAAATGTCTAATCCTTCAATTTAAAAAATAAACTTAATATTTTTTTAATTTTGACAAATAATAATAGTTAAATTGTTTTTATAATTTCATTATGTTAAAAAAGCCTAAGAATTAATTATTATTTCTGTTGCCGTTTAAATAATATTGAATATCCAAAACCAGGCCCATAGCCAGGATTTTTTCGGGAAGAGGGGGGGGGAGGCAAGTTGGGAAAGGCCCCATATCCCCTGACTACGGGCCTGTCCAAAACTTAAAATAAATGTTTGGCGTGATATTTGAATATGAAAAGAAAAATAATTTTTTTTAATTTCAAAAACTTCTTTTTCTCAAAATTGTATTCAATATTTTAACAAATATAATTAAATTCCCCACCAATTTGTTGCTAAAATTATTGTATTTATTTTACTCAATTTTCTTGCATTATTTTGTTTAAATTGCTGTTTAGATTGTTTTTCGTCGTTATGTTCTTTTTGTTGTTGGAATATATCTGTATATGGTAATACTCTTCTCAATTCATCCAATTCAACATTTATATCTTTAATTTTAAGTTTTTTTTAAAAATTCCAAAAATATTTTTTAAATTAAATTAATAGAAATTGAAATTTTTTTATAAATTTAGATTCAGATTTTGAGTTGTTAAAAAACGCAGTTTGAACTCTCTATCAAATTCTTATATTAAATAAACCTCAACCGATTTAAGATAAGTTCTTAAAATTTAATTCAAAGTCTGTCTACTTGATACTCTCTATTTCAGTCAACTTTCATCATAAAAATACTTTTCCAGCCCTAATTATTCCCAATACTTATAAGTCAGGAATCGCGCCGTCAAAAACCAAATTCCCGATTTTCAGGAATTGTGAATTGGATCGGCGCGATCCCTGTTATAGATATTATCTTTAAATTGAGAATTTCTTACGATTTTAAATTTTAATTTATAAAAATAATTATTTACCATGCATTCTTTTCCGTTCTCGACTGTTTATATTAGTTCGAAGAATATTTTGTTCCTAAAAAATAATCTTAATTTTATTTAAGTTAAAGACCTCTTCATTTAAATTATTTAATCTTTTTCTGCTTCTTTCTGATGATGAACCAGAATTATGCCTTTTACGTACGTAAGGTTCAATCTTCTCTTTAGCTAATTGTGCAAAATTCCTCTAAATAATTTTTTGAATTTTGTTACAAAATAAAAAATATTGGAATAAAAGTGTCCAATATATATAGCAATGATAAATCGGTTTAAGCTAAACCCAATCCAAAGAAAACCCGACCTATACTTCTCTCTCAACACGACCCATACTTAATGTTAGCTGATTATCCAAGGATAACTAATCTAAAAGTTGCATGGAATTAATAGTGTCCCAATTTCCAATAGAATTGATTTGGGAGGAGGCCAACGTACCGCAAGCCAAACGTACCGCAGAGCTATAACATCATTCAAAATATTCAAATCCGGGACGCTTTGGTATGGTTCGATACATCTTGACGAGCTGAATCAACCATATCAGGCGTCCCGGATTCGACAATTTTGAACAAAGTTATAGCTCTGCGGTAATTAATTAAAATTACTGAATGAGAACCTTTCCATTAATTGGTTCACTTAATTTATTTTGTTGTAATTTTTTATTGGTAGCTAAAGGACTCTCTTTATTATTTAATTCTAAAATATTTAAGTCTGATGAAGATGAAGGTATCATTGAAATAATAGATGAATTGTTAAATATTTTAGAGATATCAATTTGGTTGTTGGGATTACTTGTTTGTTCAATACTTTTTGATAAATTAGATAAAAATGAGGAAGAATTATTGGGAGTTTTTGAAGTAATTTCCATTTTATAATTAATTAATTGTGATAAATTTTCAATTATCTACTTTTGATAAAGCTTCAATTAGAGAAATTCTAATTTAAATTTAATGAAATTTTAAAGAAATAATAAAATTAATACGAGTCTTAAAACACAAACAAATTCTTTTATTTACTTAACATAAAAATAAAATTATATCAACAATTTAACTAATCCCCTATTATCTTCAGCAAAATTTAAAAAAAAATAGCGCTACGGTTTTTTGATTTGGCATAGTTGTAAGCAGTGTTTGGAAGCTCGTACTGCTTGTACTTGATTCGAAATAAGAGTATGAAACCAAAAATATGAGTGGTACGGAAGTTTTTGCTCGTACTCTTATTTTGCATCAAGTACGAGCAAGTACGAGTTTGTACGAGCTTTCAAACACTGATGTGCGTCAATGGGATCGGATTTCAAATGGTAGTTGATAATTTTCCAAAATTTAACAAAAAACTGTTTTAATGTTTCTAGCCAGTTAATAAAGGTAAAATTCAGCCTTAAAGGATATTTTGCATAGACAGAAAATTTTGATAAAAATTTCGAAATCACAAAAGAATTTTAAAATTTTTATTTCCCTTATATAAAAAAGGTATTGTTATAAATATTTTCAACAATAATTGTGAAAATACAATGTTGAGGGAATTATGAAATGACAATATGAACAAATGGGCGTAACTGCCATTAAATAAAATGATGTATGTAAATGGGTTTGGATTTACTATAATAGTGGGCGTTACTTTAGACAAGTAAATGAAGGAATATAATTTTAAGGATTTTAAAATTTAATTGGAAGGATATTTTTAGAATATTTTAAAAATCATCATAATAAAAAAAATTCAAAAATTTGTATTTATTTTTGAATGACACATGAATATTGATGTAAACAAGTATTAATGTATTACAGCCTTTATTATATTCATTAGAAATTACACTAATCATGTAATTGCCTTATCTTTTGCTTTACTCAAAATATCAAAATTTTTGTCGGCTCCGGCATCTGATGGCATAAAATTTTTCTAAAATGTGCTGATTAGTTAAACACACGAAATGAATGAAAAAACTTGACAAATAAAGGAGATAAATATGTATGTAACTTTCTTATTTAGTAATACTCATTAAATTATAAAAAGGGCCGAACTTCTGAGGTCCCGGCACTTGATATTACATAACATTTTTGGAAAAAAACATGAAAAGCTATTTTTAATTCCGAAAAATAATATGTAAATTTAAAAGCAGGTATCAACAATTTTACGTAATTAAAACAACGAAGATTAAAATTGGCCAAATTTTTAAACAAGTTATGGCCAATAACATGTTTGAAACTAAATTAATTAGTTTTAACAATAATTTTACTTCATTGTCACAATTTTATTTAAAATTTATATTATTTTATGGATTTCGTTTTTATAAAAATATATCCTTTTTGTATATTATTCTTATCACTGACTTTATGTTCGATTTGATGTCAATCTTTGATTGATAAATTTTTTTTATGAATTTATAGTATGAATAAACTTTGCACCATTCAAAGTTTAATTAAAGAATTTTGTTATAAAATATTTAACAAATATTACATAAAATATGTACATGTTGATTTATAAATTGTAACAATTTTTGCATAATTAATAACCTGCATTAAATAACTTTAAATATTTTAATTAATCACTTAAATTACTTTTTGCAAAATATTTTTAGCAGAAAAAATTGTTAAACATCGTTGTGTGTTATTAACTTGTATAAAATTTAATAGTACAAGCTAGCTGGAATTATTTTAAGTTTGTGATAGTTTATGTAACTGTTAAATTATGTTTGTGAAATATCACCCTCAAAGTCGTGTTACAACTGTGAAGTCAAATTAGGCCACAGTTCGAGTTATTTAATTAACTAACTACACAAAATACAGCCATCAACTGCCATCTCCCTAAGGCTGAAAATTGGATATCTTAGCTGGAGGTTGGACAAAAACTTAGGTTATCGAGATAATGTTCGAGATATCTATCTTGAATCATAATCATTGCAACGAAATTGCAAATTTGCTTGTACTCGTATTTCGTACAACCCCTAATTTTACTTCGTAAATACGATGTACGAGATGGCTACGATTTCAATTACAAATTTTGATACGAGTGTCGAAGCAATGGTCATAAACTAATCTAAAATTGTAGAAAACTTTATTTTACAATAAAAATATTTTTCTTAATTTAAATTACCTTTACTGTGAAGTTTTTAATTAAATTAAATTATAGTTGCATTTACGTATTATATTACTGCTAGGCCAATGACCAAACTCTCTGTGGGGGAGAATTTAAATTACAAAAAAAGGGGAAAGAAAACACGTAAGCATTTCATCATCGTTTTTAGAACCGCCAAAAAAAACTTTTTAATTATTATCAATTTATACAATTAAATATTGCTTGATGACGATTTTATATATTTTTTTTAAATATTTATTTATCATTTATTTATGACCTTCAATCGTTTTCTTTTATTTTTATTGCAATATTTGATTCTACTAGTTTAAAGATTTTTTTTACATTTTTTATTTAATTTTTTGGGAATTTTTTTACAAATATTTATCTTTTTTAATAAAAAGAATTTTCTTATTAAATAATTTTTTTTAATTTCTAAAAATATTTAGTAGTAAAATTAAATATTTTTTGAAAAAATATCTAGCCCTCCATAATATTTTTTATAAGATTAATTTCATTTAAAGAATTCTTTAACCTTTTTTAAGACATTCAGATCAATTTCGCGTTACCCTTTCGGAAATAGAAATCTTACGTAAAATAATAGGCCTGACAAGACGAGAGTGAACCAAAATCGGGAGCAGGCCAGTGTCCCGCCGAGCTATAACTTTCTTCAAAATTGTCGAATTCGGGACGCCCTGGTATGGTTCGATTCAGTTCGTCGAGCCGCATCGAACTATACGGATTCGATAATTTAGAAAAAAGTTATTTGGCTCGGGTACATTGGGGTGTACCTCCTAAATCAAAGGAAAACTTTCGTAAGTGTGTATTGAAATTATGGTGACGTAAAATTGAGGGGTTTTTGCCTATACAATTTTATTTTTAATTAAGAAAAAAAATATTTTTTTTAAATAAATAATAAATAAAGATTAAAATTTATTATTTTAATGACATAATTGTTTAAAACTAATCTTTAATCATTTTTATTTTTCATCTTCATCATTTTTTATTATTTTTGTATTATCTTGTATATAATTAATTAATTTAAATAAAAAATTATTTTTACGTGTTTTTTAAGTGAAAATATTAATTAATTTATTTTTTAAAATTAATTTTGTTTTTAGTATTTTTAATTTGAAAAATAGTAAAAAAACGTAAAAAAATATAAAAAATATTTTTGGTGCATTTTACGGCATTTTACGTTATTTTTCTAAAAAAAATATTTTTGTAAAAACTAATTAAAAATTAAATTTAAAAATTTTCTTTTTGCTTTATCGAGAATTACTAAATAAAAGTTTAAAGAAATTAAAGTTCCTTGTCGAAAGAATTAGCAGTAATAATAAAAAAAAGTAAAAATACGCTGATTTTGGAAAGCAAGTTTTTAGTTAATTAATGGGGTTGTTTTTGTTAAAATTTTGATTGAAATTTTGTATAGTTAAGAGGGGAATTGAGGAAAGGAATTGAGGAAATAAGTAAATAAATTAATTGATATTATATTTGGTATCCAAAACAAGGAAAATGAGACCTCGATTTCTAGAATCGCAAATTGGATCATCTATATCCCTAATCCATAAGCGATTCTTCTGTATCTTGTTGTTCTTATTTAATTTCCTTGTTATTTTTGTAGTCTATAAAGAAGTAATTAAAACTTCTTCAAAAAAGTTCGTCTTATTCTTCTTAAAATATCGAAAAAATTTTTTTTAAAGATTTCATACATATAAGCTTAATTAAAGGGCAAAATTTTTTTCTTTTTATTGAAAATTTGAAAAAAAAATTTGAAAAAATAACACAGGCTTGAATTTTTTTATTTCGCCCCCGTTGTTTTTATTATTAAAAAATTGTGGAAATTAAAAGGAACATTAAAGGCTATTATTGCTAATTTTTTTCTTTCATAGCCACCTTTCGTTTATTTTCCCCCTTTATTTCTCCTGCGAGATTCAAGTTTTTGAAAGTTTTCGTTCCACTAACTTGGCCATTAAAAAATTTTTTTAAGAGAGGGGAGAGAGGGCTTCCTCTAATTTTCTTCTAGAAAATTAACAACCGTTAAAAGTGAGAGAAAACGTAACGAAAAATTAGTTATTGGTTTCTTCTTTCCTTCTTGATATGCAAAAAATTTTATAGAAAAAAATTCAAGAGACGAGATCACTGCACAATCAATTAGAAAAATAAAAGAAAATGAAAGGGGGGAGGGGAGGGAGAGGAAATTAAAAAGTATTTTGAAAGATTGCCTCTTTTTTAACTTAAATGCCTTCAAAACTCTTTTGGCAAGGTCATCATTAAAAAGCGAGAAAATTAAAAAATTAGAGAAGCGAAGACGGGGGGCGGGCCAAATAAAATCAAAAACGTAATTGGGAACGTTAGATGGCCTTTAATTGCTGTCCGTTGTTCAAATGACTGGAACAAGGCTGTGATAAAAGGAAAGGTCTTTAACACATGTGCCACACATTAGGCGTTTTTATTAACTGAGAGAAAGGAGCTCTTTTAAAAAGATTTTTAATTAGAGCTTATTTATATTTAATTTGTTATACATTTGTAATCCAAAACGTATATGTAATCCAGAATATCTTTCACAGCCTAGCAATTCTTCGGATCAATTCCCTCCAATCTTTTGCCTTTTTCTGAGATTATTTTCTGGATTATCTATTTTAATTTAAATACTTATTTATCCCAAAATTTAATTTAAGATATTCTAAACAATTGAAAAAAATGAAATTAAGCTAATCTATTTAGATTTATTAAAAAATTTTAAACTTTATTTTTTATTTAAATATTTATTTTGCTAATAAGCTCAAAATTGCCTAG